TATTCTATTCTATTCTATTCTATTCTATTCTATTCTATTCTATTCTATTCTGTTCTTATCTTTCCTATCCTATCCTATCCTTCTCTATTATATTCTTCTGTTCCCTATTCTGTTCTGTTCTGTTCCATTCTATTCTATTCTTATCTTCCCTGTCCTATCCCATCCTTTTCTTCTCTATTATATTCTTCTATTCCCTATCCTGTTTTGTTCTGTTCTATTCTATGCTATTCACCTACAATTTTTTCAGTCTTTAAATTTTCCACATGCTCCTATTGATTTCAATGGATCAAAATCAACGGAGTGGGGCAAAAATCACACTGATGTAGCATTCAGTAGGAAAAGGAGAGGACCCAAACATTCTGTTCATTCCACCTTCTTCATGTTTGATTTTTTTTTTTTTTAAAAAAAAGACCTTTTAAGACACTAGAGGAACATGAAAGGTTTCAGGAGATACAACCAACCTATAGCTGATGAGTTGGAATTCTGATGCAGACTTAACATCGTTCAATGGACTGAAAATAGTATCACAACAGATCTTGTATTGATTAGACCTATTATGTTTGACTTACTCTTATTTTCATTTGTGCTTCATTTGTGATACTCATACTCATAAATACCTCACTTATTTTTTTTATTTGTGTTCCATTTGTAGTAATCACACATACCTATTTCTCCTCATCATAAGCCTTTTATGATTCCTTTGAAGAGATGCCAGAATGCTAGTTGTGCAAGAGTCAAGTATGTCCAATAGACTTCCAAATCCTCTAATTTAACCCCCCACCTTGGCATCCCTGTTGGTCATTCACTTATTTGTTTAAAAAAAAACCTGAAAAGGTTTTGGAAATCATTTATTTCCAATTCATCCAATCATGGGGGGTGTTCTTTTGAACCATTTGGTATTTATCTTCTGAAGCAGCACAAGTGGCTTGTTCTCAGATATGAAATAGTAATAGCTTTTATCTACTTCTTCAGCCTATGTCCCAAAGGTGTTTTTTCAAGAGGCAACTGGGCTTTCTTGTTTTTCTTTGAAGACGTTTCTCTTCTCATCCAAAAAGCTTCTTCAGTTCTGACTTCCCCACCATCCAGAGCTGAAGAAGCTTCTTGGATGAGAAGCAAAAAGCCTTCAAAGAAAAACAAGAAAGTCCAGTTGCCTCTTGAAAAACACTTTTGGGACAACTATGACCTGGATGCCTGAGAATCTCCATGACATTCTTCAGCCTATACATATTCAATCAGTGCCGGAAAGAATACTGTTATGACTTCATCTAAAGCAATATTTTAGATTCTTACCTCCAACACAAAATGTCCATTCATTGACCATGAATGTGAACTGATACATTTGATAGAATTCAGCTATTGTCTTTTTCTAGGCTCAGGAATTATTAAAGGAGATTTGCTCACTGGAGAGGAGTCAAACTATAGTAAAAAGATGAAAGATCACAAGTCACCAAATTGAGTAAACAAGGTCATATTGAATATGTTTGACTGACTGTCCCAAGGACGTATCTTTGGATTGGATTGTTCCAAAAGGAACAACTGAGCTATTGACTTAACCGAGCTTTATATAAGAGCTGAGCCAATGTCTTCACGTCACGTTGTTCGAGGGCAGCAGGCAAAAACAAAAAACAAAAAAACAACCCCAGAATATAAATATGCTGTGGCTTGCTGAGGCATGAATTCTATGCCTACATATTTAATATGTTTAATCTGCTTAACAAGGTATCCCTGGGGGACTATATATCTTGAATCTTTTGGCAAAAACAGCAACCTTCTTCCTTTGATAATTAATAAAAATATTATTATTATTACAGTACTGAATATCAGTCCTTAATGATTTCATAGCTAAATCCTTCAGACAGTTGTTTTTATAGCATACCGGCTCCAAATTAGCCTTCAGCAGTCTTTGAATCAACATACTGAATTACATAAATCTAGTATCAGGTTAAGCGAATATATCACTACAGCAAATATATTCATAAGCTGTGTCAGTTGAATACAACAACAAAAACAAAAGACTAAGGTGCTTTAAAACCTCACAAGTACTGGGTCTCTGCTCATTTAATTATGTCTATGAAATACTACTTTTACAGATATCCATACCCAAACATATAAAGAACAAAGGAAAACACAAAACAAGTAACCATGGAGTTATTTTCTTACCCTAATCCTTCTCACCACCCTTTCCTATTGCTCCTAATGATTATTAATCAGCCCCTGCCACGTTGAACTAAGGGTGCCAAGTATTATTAAGGCTCAGTCCTGGGCCAGTATTCTAATTTCAGGACTCAGTATCGCATTTGACCCTACTGGCTTGATACCTCTGCCATTGTCAGATAACTACCAATCTCCCTTGTACTGTACCTGTGTGGAAGACCTTTGCAATATTGGCATCTCTGTTAAATTTAGACCATTTAAATCTAGAAAAGGCAAAATCAATAGTAAAAGAAAGAATTAAGGATCTGGATTGCCAAAATGCTCCTCAATTCTATTGCCAAATATTAGATAGCCGCAAGACCTTTACCGAGGGATATGTATACACTCTTGTGCTGTCCAGACAGTTTAGAGTTAATGGGATTTGGGATAGTTAGTTAGGAATTGAGAGCTGTCCCCTTAAGGGAATGCATCATGGTAAATGTAGTTAAAGTATCCTGGGAAATGTAGTACATATCATGTGGCCACATCTGTAACCCTGATTGGTCACTGAATTGACCCTTGGTGGGTTGGGGGAGGTTTCTTCACTCTTGCCTGAACACAGCCCCATGGTAGCATCTCTATCTCCTGCTTCTACGATATGGGATGAAAGGGATAAGAGACAACCATCTTTTTACCCAGAAAGACAGATATGCACAGGATTGGACATTAAAAAGAATCTCATCATAACTGTGAGTTATTGAGGATGCCTGATGAACCAATAAAAAAGATTTTGTATGGATGCTTTGTGGAGTTTATCTATCTGCCTTTGTACAGGACAGAATAACTCTAACCCTAAGCAAATATAGATAGATTTTGAAGGGATGGATGCCCTCCCTTCAGCACTCCTGGTGGAAAGATTTCAAGAGACTCCTAATTTACAGAGAAATGATTCTTGTGGATCCAGGGATCATTTTGTCCATGTCCTCATAAGGTGACATTTTTAGGTGTCTTCAAGACATGCGTTGAAGTTCCCAATCATCTCAAAATTTGAGGGTAATCCTGAGACATTTTACTTTTATTTCTTTTTAAGGGATGCTAACTTTATATTCAGGTATTTTCATAAAGCCATACAGTTGTGCAACACTTAATTAAATATGTTATCTTATTGTCTTATTGGTTTTTTTCTCCTGATAATGAATTGCTATACCAAACAATCTCTTTTTGCTGTTGCAAAGGCAGGTCAAAGGCTATAAGAAAGATGTTTCATTTGCCTTCAGATTTATATATTGCTCCACTGATTTGTAAGTGTCTTTATCAACCCAATTCAAGTGCAGGGCATACATAGTGTAAGTAAATAGGCTGAGGGCAAGAGGCCCAGCAAAGTGTGCCAGTAATATGCAAATAGAAGAAGCCTGATCAAAAGAATAAAAACGTCTCACTCAGAGAAAGAGGAATCTAATCCCAATTGAGATGTATTGATAAAACCTATAAATATCTGATTAGAATTGCTTTTATAACATTTATTTTATTTATTTATTTGTGAAATGACATCTTACTCATTTTACCATACTTGCAAATTAATTATTTAAAGTCCACCTTACTCTCCTAAGAACCTCAAATTGGGTTTGGATCTATGATTTCCCCTCTAAACCAGGGGTCTCCAACCTTGGCCACTTTAAGCCTGGAGGACTTAAGCAAAGCTGGCTGGGGGATTCTGGGAGTTGAAGTCCGCCAGGCTTAAAGTTGCCAAGGTTGGAGACCCCTGCTCTAAACCAAGGGTCACTAACCTTTTGGACCTCAGGGACCACCAAACTCCCAGGGACCACTAACTGGTTCTGTGGGCGTGACCTAATTTGTGGGTGTGGCTTGGTTGGGCATGGCTTGTATGTAAATATAAATATTTATATAAATATTGATTTTTTTTAAAAAAAAATAGCAACTTTTACCCAAAATCAGGCAAAGCAGGCAGGCAGATTGAGTTGCTCACAGAATCACAGATTCATTCAGAGATCTATCTATGTGCCATTGGCTAGCTCAATCTGTCACATAAAATTTGCTTGCAAGCAAACTCACAAAATTAACTCACAACACACCATGTATGTAAATATTGATTTTTTTTAATAAAAAAAGCAATTTTTACCCAAAATCAGGCAAAGCAGGCAAATTGAGTTGCTCACAGAATCATTCAGTGATCTATCTATCTGCCATTGGCTAGCTCAGTCTCTCAAATTTGCTGTGAGTCTGCACTGAATTTACTTGCAAGCAAACCTTCAGTCCTAAGGGAAGCAGAGCCGAAGATCTAAAGACTAGCTAGAAAGCAAGAAATCC